CAGGGCTGCTCCCCGCTCACCGCTCCAGCAGCAGGAGTGGGGGTGTGGTCAGAGGCCAGATAGCATCGCCCCCTTAGGCAAAGGGGGCAGGGAAGGGATTTATTTCCCTGTCCATCTGGCATCTGGCAAAGGGGGCAGGGAGGAGGGTTATTCCGCTGCTCACCCCATGAAGGTGAGCGATCAGGAGAGGCAGTGGTCAGGGTTAGCAGACCCCAGCTGCAGTTGCCCGGGGGAAAAGAGCTCATGAAGCCGAACCATGAAGCTGCAAGGACACTCCAGCCTCTGCATTTGCAGCTGACATTGGCAGTGGCACAGAGCACAGTCTGCAAACATGGAGTGGAGACCCCTTCTGGGAGCCCCCTACCACCACTGCACTTGTAGACAGACGTGTGTAAGTCCCTTGCAATGAGGTTTTCCTATGCAGGACTGCAGGCGGAGAGTAGGGACCTCCCACAGGGGTCCGCTGCCCAACCCAGGGGTATGTCTGTAAACTGGTTTTCCCCTCATGCAGACACACCCCAAATTCGTGCTCAGCAACCAGGGACATCTGATCATGCTCCATAGAACACGATCAGTTAGTTGTGCCACAACCTATCACTGCACAACCAGTCACATTCCACTGACAACATCGGTTTCCAGCTTCACATATCATCCCTGCAGGAAGCTTTCTTTACTGAACCCTTCCAAGCCTGTCCAATGAGACTTGCACTCACCAGAGCAATTTACAGCAGCATCTTCCTTATGATGGCAGTTACTGTCCTCCCAGGCCTTGGCAGGACAGTGCCACAGAGATGATTCTGTCCCTCGACAGTCCAACTTCTCAACCCAAATAGGGCCAGTCCCTTCCTCAAATGCAGCCTCACCCAGGGCAGACACAGCAGGTCCACAGCCCAGTTGTCTACACACAACATCCGCATCCGCCATGTCCCAGAAATCATCACACACCGTTCCCCAGGAGCCACGGTGCCAAACCTCCACTCTCCCCGAGCATCCGTCCTCTCCTCCCACAACGCGGAGCTTTTCCTTGTCTGGGAAAGGCAGAAAGTTCACATGTTATTGGGACAGCTGGGAAGGTCATTAGGGACTGCGAAGAGACACAGAGAAGCATTGATACCTGTGCAGTTTGTAGAGCCTGGGCACGCAGCAAATGAGTTTTGTGTTCTATTTTCTTTTGTTCCTATAGAAATAAATACTACCATGAGTAGAGTAATTACTGTGTTTCATGCAAACTGAAGTATAATCTATACATGGTATTAACCCCTCCACTGCAACACTGTATGAATAAGATATAAGTTCTAGTTCATGTAATACCCAAAGGATTTGTTCTTTAGTGATAACCGAAATCTTTCTCAAACTTTTTGCAGCTCTGTCAGCATGTGTGCGCTTGTGATTTCTTACTCTGTGCTTTCTCTCTTTGAGTCCCTTTCCTATAACTTAACCAAGAAGTTGATTGTGAATAGTTTTATTATCTGAAACTCACATGGAGTACTGTGGAATTCCAGTGAAGAATACAATTTTATTGCATCTGGAATGAAATGAACCTGCAGCTCAGACCTAGCATCTTCTCACACATATCCATGGCACTTGCATAAATATACACAAACAGATTTTTGGAAAATTCTCACCCTGATTCAAGATTCACAGCCTGGGTCCATCACTGACTGTCATCCCCAAAATATAAACAACAAAGCTGCACATGTGATGTTTGGAAATGAATGCCTTTATTATGTACTATATTATTCTATTTATCATTAATAATGTTCCTTTGCTTACCTCAGGCTACATTCACATTTTAATAGATAATTAAAATATGTACATTACACTGTTAAGAATGAAAAAAAGGTCTAATCAATTAAAATGTCTAATGTTCTGCTGTGACTGCTTCTCTTCTGAAGACCTGAGGACAGAGACTTTGGTACTTGAACTTTTTTCTATGTCCCTCCCAACTAAACAGTTGCTCCAATAAAAGGTATCACCTACAAAACTGGGTGCTTAATAAATAGGCACCTCATAGGCACCTTGCATAATGAATGCAATATTTTTCTACCTCAACCCTTCAGTGAATGTGGGCACATCTGCACAGGTGCAGATGTACATCTGAGTGTGTACATGTATCATCTGGGTGTGTATGTGTATTTAAAGATGGTTTTAGAATTACCACTGCAAGAAATGTGCGTCTCTTCTATCCGGTTATCACATGACTGAAGATCCCATGACTCTGATGGGCACTGCCAAAGAGAGCTGTGATGCTCACGACACTCAATGTGGTCTAGCCATGTGGGACCAGAACCTTCTCCATATGCAAACTCTTTTGCAAATGCACCTCCAACTCCACAGCTCAGCTGTTTACATATAATTTCAACAGTGGCTTGAGTCATTTGATTGTAGCAAACACTCCCCCAGGTCCCATTGTAGAAAACCTCCAGCCGTCCAGCACAGCCGTCCTCCAGCCGTCCACCATTCACCAGCCGTAGATCCATGAATTCTAGAAGGAAATGCAAAAAATCAAATTGTGCTGACCTTATTCTGATATAACCTGAAGTATGCAGACTGAAATCCCATAGATCACTGACAACTCTATGCAGGAGCAAATGTAGAAACAATTTCCATCAAGAATCACTGAAAGGATCAAAAAGTCTTCCAAACATCCTAAGGTCATTAGGCATAAAATGACACCCTGTGGAAATTCATCATATACCAAAAGTTACAAAATACCTAAGATGCTGCAGTGTCTGTCCCGGTTCATACTATGAAAAAGCTTTGGTATCTTTCATAACCCAGGCAGACAATTATGGGAAACAATAGCATTGTAATAATGACATGCATATGTTGGTAGGTGAGAAAGAAAAAATAGACAGCCAGAGAGGATATCTATTATTCTCATCTCTCCGCTCTTCACTCCAGTATACGCCTGGTAACCAGGTTCATGAGAGCAGTAACAGAAACAGACCTGAACAGAGCACTCCTGCATCCTCTTTGTGTCGACAGTTGTGTTGGCCCCAGCTCCTGGAAGGACATGCCCACAGCTCCGACTCATTCCCAGAGCAGTTCACATCATCCATCCAGATCTGCCCTGAGCCTTCCCCATATCGAGCAGAGGCAGATGCCTCAATGGCGTGTCCACATTTCAGTTGTTTGCAAACTATGCTGGCATCAGACAAGTCCCAGGAATCATCACAGATGGTCCCCCAGGTGCCCTGGTAATAAACCTCCACTCTCCCAGCACAGCGACCTGCCCCATTCACCAGTCTGATCTTCCTGCTTCCTGTATGGAGAAATCCCAGCAATTAGTGTGCAAATCAATGATAACTGAATAGTTTCCATGCAAATCATTCTGCTTTAAAAAGGTTCATACATTGAAATGACTTAAAAACCTTTACTTACAAGTAAAAATACAGGAAAATATTTGCAAAGAAGAATACAAGAAGCTACTGGACAGGAAGTGATTCAATCTCATAAACAGGCCCTGCCTTCCCTGGCCCCAGTCTGAGGTACAAGGGGCAGAATTGCAGTCATGCTTTGGAATTTGCTATATTGTTATCCTGCCAACCAAAAATGTACTGATTTGACCCTTATGTTAACATCTCTTTGCATCCTAGTGAGATCACTTCACAAGGTAGGCTGGTGGCAGGTTCTGGGATGATCATATTTCTGCTCAGTGGAAGATGTCAGGAGTTAGTTCAGCAAGCAGGCCAAGCAGGCCCCATCTCCACAGTGGTAAGGGTCTGACTGGCTACTGATTAGCAGCAGTTCTTTCAGAGCATGTAAGACTGGTCAATATGACAGTTGCCTTGCTGTTAGCCCTGGGTCTCTGACTGCTTGGGTAGCAGCGGCCTTTCTCTGCTTTGCCCTCTGGCATGATGGCAGGTAGGAGCTGACCCTGAACCAATGGTAATAATGGCTACAGCAACAGCTCAGGAAACAGTGATTGTGCCTGTGACACTGCAGGCAACAGTGGAGGCACTTTCTGCCCTTCCTGATGGGAGAGAGGAAAGGGAAGAAAAAGTGGAGGGTCCTATAGGAATTAACAATGTTCATTTGCAAAGATAAGTGCCACAGCAGAATTTCTCTCTGGTACTGGGAAACTAGAGATGATGTGTCTGGAAATCAGTCAAACTGTACTTCAGAAGATACTGAAAGTCTGCCCATCAGACCTAAACTGCTTCATTATTATACCTCTGGGACTAGACTGGGACCTGAGTTTTAGGAGCCCAAAAGGCTATCAGAAATTTCTCAGCAGTTTTCAAGAAGCCAAGAGTGACTCAGTACTAATGTACACTGTTTTTAGCGTAGCTCCAAATAATAGGGAGAGACTGGTAGGAATTAAAATACATTCAGACACTATCACCAAAACAGACTTGTGAATTATAAGTAAAGAGGCACTACAAGGAAGTGGGACAGATTAGTAAAATAAGGGTTTGAGACAGGATATGGACAGGCACTTGGAGGGCCCAAGCCCTCCTGAAAGCAGACACCCTCAAGTCCAGGAGAAGTATACAATCTCCTCACATTGGTAGACGCAGGTGCTAACTGCAGTGTTACATATTATTATGGAATGCCAAGATTTTGTCCTAAATGGGGCAAACTGGAACACATAGCAGCAGCCCACACTTAGCTTATTTGTTCAGTGTGCAAGTAGGCGGCGGGGCACATGGCACAGTCAAGTGAAGGGTTATGGCAATGTAATCTCTGTGGAGAGAAAGCGTACCTCTTTAAAACACCCAAAAATCAATCACTAGAGCAGTAAGAACGAAAGAGGTAGAAATGTGATAGAAGAACCAGTGCAGAACAAGGAGGAGTGAAAGGAGCTTGAACCTCAAAAAGAAAAGAAAAAGAATCAGGAACATCAAGTCAAAATTTCTTGGGATGACCCATGGAATAGGGTTAATAGAAGAGGAGGAAGAGGAAGGAAAGGATACAAAAAGGACACAGTCTTTTCTCCCAGGCTGTCTTACTAGATCCTTGACTCCCCATGATCCAATTCCAGTCCAGAACCCTGTCCTCTAACAGTCTGCTCCTGGTTTGTGGCAGTCACCAATATCCTAATCCCATACTGCTATATCTTCCTACTCCAGGCCCCCTGGCTAGTGAATCTGGCTGGATCCCTGCTTCCTCTTCCTGACCTCCCATCTCATTGTTCAAAACTGCCAACATCTGGGCACATTAGAGCCCTCAGCCTCCTGCCCCCCCTGCTCCTGACCCGTGACTCTAGTTGGGACTTTTTTCTCCCTGACTTTGTCTGTTCCTGATCCCCTGGGTTATGACCCTGCCTACTTACATCCTGGCTGTACCCCTGACAGAAGAAGGTGCTTGTAGGATTTTGAAGGGAAGTCACCTGAGCAAACAACACTGACATCTTCAGCAATTCCTGCCTCCACCGTGTCAGACAGGGAGGTGTTACAGAGCATCAGATTAGGCTCATGTCCTGCACACTGGACACTTCGAAAACCCACAGGACCCGTCCCTCGCTTCGACTTCACAGGGTGATAGGCTTTCTCAGCATCTCCACACTGGAGCTGCCTGCACACCACGCTGGCATCATTCATGTCCCACTGATCATCCAGGACTCTGCTCCATGTTCCACCGAGGGAAATCTCGACTCGCCCATCACACCAGCTCTCTCCATTCAACAGTATGAGTGATTCAGAGCGACCTGGCCTCGGGGGAGATGGAAAATGCATTGAATACGACTGTTTTCCTTTATATAAAATGCAGAATGTATGCATGAAATTACTGTAGGTTATCAAATACTCAGAGAACTACAGTGATAAGAACAACTGCTGTTACACAGATTTTAGGAGAATCCTTCATTAGAAGTCTTATACTCAACACTAGAGCCTTGTCAGAGAGTTGTTAGCTCAGACCTCAAATTAAGTGCATTCCTTGAAGCCAAGGAACAACACTGGACTTTTGTTCATGTCAGCTAGCAGAGCTCTCTTGGCAAGGGGTGTGAAAAAATTAGACCCTATAGCTGATGTAGCTCTGCTGGAAAAACTCCTGGTATGGATGCAGCTTCTGCTTTCTCCTTGCAGTGCTTCTGTTGTCAGGGGTGAGGGTGTAGCTCCAGCAAAAGGAAAGCCCCTGACATCAGATGGCCCAGGCAACTTTGCAATGATGCCCTAATTAAAGTAGTAGCAACCTCCTCTCTCCCTGCCATTGTATAAACAAAGCCTGAGGAAGGTAGATGGAAGAGTCCATAACTTTGTCTTCTGCTGTGAGACATTCAAGTGGCACTATGCTGATTGAAAATGTCTCAATGTCTAAGAACATCCTTCACTCAGCTGTATCTGCTGCCAGAAATTCTAGCAGCAAACAGTAACCACGACCACCAAGCTACTAGAGGGCATGTACACCTGCATGCTTCTAGTGGCTCTGAGCAGATCCATTCTTCTGCCATGTTGCCAGATTACAAGTACAATTTAAGGTACCACCTGCTAAATGGACCGTGGCACTGCATGAAGGAGTGAGGGTGTCTTGATCTCAGCTGGCTACTGGATGCAGCAGGAGTTTCCAGTGAAGATAGAGTAACTCTTGTGGCAGAGGGAAGGTTCTTCTGCTAGTGAAGGGCTAGGCATTGGCTTTGCCCCATTCACTGAACTCCTTGCCCTTTCTGCAGAGAATGCAGAAGCGGTATAACAGAGGAGGTGATGCTAGTGGCTGAGACTAGAGACGTATGATATAGGTGCAGTGATCATCAGGTTCAATACACATGGCCATGTGTGAATGAGAACTACACAACAAGATTTATTCTGCAACAGTAAGCAATCCCCATAGACCCTTAGCAATGCCTATAGACAATAAGCAGTTCCTGTCTATTGCTGACTGACTGACTGATTGGCTAGCTATTCTGGGAACCGACAGAAGCGACCAAAGGCTCCCCTCACTAGTCATATACGCCAACATCCTTAATGCTTTGCTTAAATACAACATCAGGAACAGGAAGAAAATCTAGGACTACTGAATCTTAATAAATAGACCTCCACAGTTGAGCTAAATGACCAAGCTCTCAAGCCAATGCTGCAGGAGGCTCACCATTTCTGTATTGCCTATCTAATAATCCTGTGTTATTTCTACACTCACCTGAGCAAATCACACCAACATCACGGTCATGCAAGCACTGAGGGGCCCCCAAGGCAGTAACCGGGCAGTGCCACAAATGGGGTTCAGTCCCATTACAGTGGAATGTGTCTTTCCAGACAGGGCCAGTTCCTTTCCCAAAATGCCCTCCTCCTAGAGCAGACACAGCAAATCCGCAGTCGAGCTGACGACAGAGAACGTGGGCATCAGATAAATCCCAGCGCGAGTCGCAGAGGGTGCCCCAGGCACCAAGCACTTGGACCTCCACTCTCCCCGAGCAATGTGTGCTGCCATTCACCAGCCTGAACCCGGTGAATCCTGGGGAGAAGAGAAGGAAGATGGTGATTAGAGAGGAACACTACAGCCCATGTCCCCATTTTATACCAAAGAGTCAAAAATCGGAAGGCAGGAAGAGGCCTTTCTGATTATCTTGGATTTCAGGGGTTTTGCCAGAAATGAATTCCAATTCTGCTGTCCTTGTTCCCAACAAAGTTATATTACTTTGTTGCTGTACCCGAGCCCAAAATTCATATCAGTGTTGTCTTGGTGCTGAGTGTGAAGGTTTGAAGAGGTGATCTGGGAAATTGCTGACCCTTTGTTGGAAGGACAGCATATAAATAAATAAATGGCTTCCTGCAAATGCAGGGGGTTGGACTGAGTGGCTCAGACAGTCCCTTTTGGTCCTATGTTCCTATTTTAAAGATATCACACTGAATTCTTACGTGAACATATAAGGCCAATATCATTTGCATGTGAGCCTGTCTGATTCATGGGTGGTGCTCGGGGGCAGTATGCAAGATAAGACTCATTTCCCACACACTGAAACTTTTCAGTCCAGATTGGCCCTTGTCCTTCTCCAAAGTGAGCTCCTCCTGTGATGGATACAACTGCTCCACACTGTAGCTCATTACAAATCACACTGGCAGCTTTAGGATCAAGGTGGGAATCACTGACTGTAGCCCAAGTGTGTCCATGTCTTATCACCAAACGTCCTGAGCAGGCATTGTCACCTTCAATTAGCCGGGGCTGTGTGTCACCTAGAGTCAAACAATCCATCAGTGAATGTAATAATGAAACTCCTTGACCTGCAGGTACAGATTATTATTCAAACCCTTTATATACAAAATAGTTTTAAAAAACAGGGATCTAATTGTCCATACAAGCATTAACTAATTATCTACTTCTGAATTACTGAATTTTTTAACAAATCACCAGGGATAGGGTATATGCCTATTTATGAGATATTTTTCTGTTTTCTGGTTGGTTATTCTGATATTGTGAGATACACAGGATGCATCTACATGTCACCCTATGGCAATGTAGTAATGTGCTACATCGCCATACAGCACACTATGGTGACATAGTGATCACATGGGCCTACACATGATCACTGGCTACATTGCTGTAGCAGCACACTCCCTGGCTATAGCGCACCACTAGGTGACATAGCTGGTGAATCTAACCATGCGCTGCCTGTACGCTGCACTACTGACCATGTTTTAGTACTTCCCCCAAGCAAGTGCTCAAACACAGCTCAGTACTAACATCGCCATACAGCAGTCTAGGCAATTATGGGGGTGTGGGCTGTAGGGAGTGTGTGTGTGTGTGTGTGTGTGTGTGTGTGTGTGTGTGGGGGGGGTGGGATGTAGGGGGTATGGGGGCATAGGGTATGTTAAGGGGTTGTATTTATGTGGAGGTTGTGCAGGCAGGGTGTTGCTGCATGGCATTTGTGGGGTGTGTGGGACAGTGGAGGGGTGTGGGTGGCACAGCAGCAACAGCAGCAGGTGGGGGTGCTGGAGTGCTCACTAGTGCCTGGCAGGGCCAACACTGCACACCACGGAGATAAGTACAGCCCGGGCTAGGCAATCTCTATTGTTGGTGCTCCCTGCTGTGCATGCGCAGCCCCCGCACTGGTGCAGCACAGGAAGGAAGCCCCACGTGCTAGAACCGCTGCCTTCCCCACCCCCGCCAGCTCCAGCTCATGGGGCTTCTCTCCCATGCCACACCAGTGCAGGGGCTGCACATGCACAGCAGGGAGCACCAGAAATAGAGACTGCCCAGTCTGGGCTGTACTCCTCACAGCAATGTGCAGCGCTGACCCTGCCAGGCACCAGCAAGCATCCCAAGCACCCCCACCCACTGCTGCTGCTGCTGCCACTGCCTGCTGGGGCTGCACACCACACTCCCCCACCCTCCCTCACATCCACCTGACCTCTGCACTGCCACCGACCTCCTGGGCACAGGATCCATTTCTGCCGCCAGCCCGAGCCCCATGCTCTACACTCCCACCCAGCTGCAGCTCCTCCCCACTCCCATCACTTCCCTACCTGCTGCCTGGAGCCAGTGGGAGACAGGGAAATGGAGCAGGTCCCCAGAGGCAGCAGCAGTGCTGGCAGCAGCCCCACCCAGAAGCTGCATGCTGGTGAGACCTGGCCTTCCACCCATGAGGGTAGAAGCGTGGCACGATATGGTAGGTTCAGGGGGTGTATACCTGAGTGCCTCACTCCCACCCTCATGGGCAGAAGGGCTGGGCAGGGTACAATTTGCTGGGTGCCGTGAACTGGATGAAAGCACCTGGTGGGCCATACCTGTGTAGACATACCCACTGTTACAAAGCGTTAACAAAATCTGTGTGGTTTCCACTTTTAGTAGACGAGGCAACAGCTTTAGATAATCCTACCATTTATACTCAAGAGAAAATAGTAAGGCAGGAGAAGGAATAAGAAAAGAAAAGAGAGGAAGGAGGAAAAGTAGTACTTGCCACAAGCTGAGAGTAGAGGATCTGTTCCTCCTGACAGTAGAACCATTAGATGAGTTACTTGAGATCAGATAAGGCATTTGTAAGAAAATGAACTTCAGGATGTTGTACTTTCACCAAAAAACTCTCTGTGCTACTACTACTATGCTCAGTTACCTGCTTCCTTGAATTCCCCAGGATAGCAAAGAGGAAACATCAGGATACATCAGATTCACACATTATCCATGAAACAGGATTATCCAGAATTCCAGTATAGATACTGTATATAGATTAATATAAGTACCCAGACACAATAGCTTATTAAATGCAAACAATTTTTCTGATTTGGAACAGAGTAAAAACGTATTAATGGTAAATAGGAAATATGATATTGAGAGTAGTGGACTTAGGTTAATGAAGGGATTCTAAAGAAACCAGAATTGAAAATTACATGTGGCTTTCATCACTGTCAGTAAGTATAACAGTTAAAGGAGTTGATGATATTTATCCACTTTCATGTTGTTTCACAAGGACGAGACACATTCTTTTTTCAGTCCCTTTTTTTGCAGGGCAATTTCCTGATAGGTGGCGGGTTGGCTAATTCCTTACCTGAGCACGTCACTCCAGTATAGAAAGAAGGAGAGCATGTTGACTCCAGATTGTATGTCCCAAAACATTCCCAAACTGTTGCTTCATGACCTCGACAAACATCTCCTAAAAGTATGTATGGTCTGGAATCCTCTGCAAAATGGCTGGCTTCATGGATACTCATTGCAGTACCACATCCAAGTTGTTTGCAAATTATTGCAGCATGTTTCATTGATTCAGCAGTCGAACATACTTTCATCCAGGCATCACCAAATTTCAACTCCACTCTGCCAGCACATGGACTGCTACCACTGACCAGGTTCAGGTCAGCCAGAAAACCTTCAATTAGAGAAGCAGGACAGAATTAGTGAAGAGTACACTGAGTCACACCCCATGGCTATTATTACTGGAGCTCATTAAACAGTAGTTGCCAAATAGAGTGTGTATGGCTTTGTCAGTGGTGTATGGCTTTGTCATTCATTTCTAAATCAGTCTCCTGGTTTTTTAGTTTATTCACTATCTTTAATTTTGTCTGGTTAGAAAACATAGAAACAAGAAGTCATTGTGTATTACTTGGTTTTCTTATTCAGACTGTGAAATAATTCAAACAAGGCATTCAGAATGAATCAGAAAGAACAAAGTGCTATTCTAAATGTAGTGGAATCTTTTTTATCATGTATTCCTGATCCAATGCCAAAGTTGCATTTCACTTATAGCTACATTTGTGTCAGCTTTTTGGGGACCCAGTATATAGTTTTCCTTCAGGTCATTAATTCTGCCTCATTCCATTGCACATAAGCACAGAGTTTCGAAACACCAGTCTCTAATGTTTTGCACAGCTCAACCCTGAAGCTGCAAGAAGGGATAGGGTCTCCCCCCTATTTGTGATTCATCTGTCATGGAAGTTTTAACTGTACATTCAGAGCCAGGCAGGTGTCTGCTCCTGTTAAGCTAGTCTCTGCTATTGCCATTAATTACTTCAATAGCACACACAGGACCATATTTTCACTGCTATCCAGGTGACAGGAAGTCAAAGAAAGAAAGGACCTTGTCAGGCATTTCATGCACCATGCAAGGGCCAAGTACATTTGTGAACTGTTTGGCTGAGCTACTATATATTGCTTTTAATATTAATTGAGAAAAGCACATGGAGAGCAGTGCAGAAGTTCCTGCCCCACTGGGAGCAATGAGAACTGGGAAAAGTGGTTCAGATTAGGACCCACAGCTCTTTCCATTGCAAAACAACAGCCATCTCACTGAGTCACATCCTCTAGCTTCTTCTCTTCCTCATGCCCCGTGTACCCCTTTCTCTTGGCCCACAGCTTCAAGAGGTAGGCTGGAGAGGGTTAATCTACTCTCCCTGCTCCTTGAGTCTAGATTTGGGATATAGTCAAGGTAATTCATATTTAAATTAACCTATACAAAGTCGAGGTACATGCTACCCCTACCTGAAGCTAGGGAAGTAGCCATAAAAATGTATGTAATGGATGTAAACAATGTCTGTTATTTCTATCATTGGTACCATCCACAACTCCACACTCAAACAGTTCAAAGTGACTATAATCTGTGTATAAGGGGGAGTAGCATTTAGGCATTAGTGGGCATATTTACACATGGAATTAAAGTAGACCAATAAACTCCAGAGCTTATTACCCCAGAGTTTACAAAAAACTTTGGAGCATATTGCTTCAGAATTTATTCATGTGCACCAGATGAAGCACGGCTGGAGCAGCCCAAGCTGGCATGGGACCCAGGGGATCAGCCTCTCAGCCCAGGCCTGCTCCAGCCAGGCTCTATGTGCCATGGTGGGGTGGGTGGGCTGGCAGTGTGCCTCAAGATGGAGGAGCATCCAGCCCTCATCTGACTGCTCCCCCACCTCTGCATGCCTCAGCACAGGGACTCTGCTGCAGAGCCCCTGCACTGAGGCATGTGGAGATGGGGGAGCAGCCAGCCCAGGGCTGCTCCCCTGTTTCTGTGCCCTGCAGAGACCGGGGCCCTGGGGGGCCGGGGGGGCAGCCCTGGGCTGGCTGCTCCACCTCTGCATCCTGCTGTGTGCCTGGCTGAGGTAGGTGTGCTGCTGTGCATGAAAAAACAACTGCTTAAATGACCACTAACTCCTTCAGATAATGGTTCTCTTTCTATGAAAAGAAAAGGGAAGTCAAAACAAGACCTAGGAAATCCCATGACAAAAAGCTTAGTTAACAGAGGGTTGTGTGGTGGTACCAGGTAAGTACTCAGAATGCTGAGTTAAGCAAAACTCACACTTCTAAAACCTGGGAAATTTAAGTCAAAATATATGTCCCTATAGCCTTGGATTGTTCCTCTTTGCCTGATATCACAATGAGCCCAAAGTACACATACAGTCATTCTGCCTTTCCACCGTGCTGGACTGGACCTTCTTACAACTACCTTACCTTACAGTCCAACAGTTTAACACTGTGAACAG